GCCCTATGCTAAATTTAAACTAGAACCCTCACATAATCTAATACAAACTTACACCATTACTTAATGCCATTCAACAATTTTAAAAAAAAAATACAAATTATTATCAATTAGCATGCAAATCATAAATAAAATTTATAAAATTTAATATGAAAAAATTTAGGGCTTGTCTAATATGGGTCCTTACATTTTCTATTTCCTAGACATATACCCATCACTCTATAAATCTATGTGTAAAACCCAATTGCAAACTTAAATGACCAGTAGGATATAAGAGGTCATAGTATTCCTATGTTTTACCTCGTTGCGACCAAATTTCATATTTTATTTATAATTTATTTCAAGCATTTCAATAACTGCTATAATTGTAATTAATACTCCCTATTAATAGCATATCAATCACCCCATAGGTAAAAAATATAAGTATAAAAATATAGGTATATTATTTAAATAAAATATAGGTATATTATTTACCAAAAAAAAAAAATTAAAAACTAGGTCAGTTACTTTGTAATTGAAATTTCCATACATTTTTCACAAATTAAAAATAGGTACACAATAATTTATAGAAAATATAGGTACATTATTTACCCATAGGTAAAAATACCTATAAATGCGTATAGGTAAATTATTTACCCATAGTTTTTTTCCCTAAGGATTTACCTTACTTTGTTGTATATTAATGGGCTTGTCCAATATAGGTCCCTACAATTTCTATTTCCTAGACATATACCCATCATTCTATAAATCTATGTGTAAAACCCAATTTCAAACTTAAATGACCAGTAGGATATAAGAGGTCATAATATTCCTATGTTTTTACATCGTTGCCATCAAACTTCATATTTTATTTATAATTTATTCCAAACATTTCATTAACTGTCATAATTGTAATTAAAACTCCCTATTAATAGCATATCAATCACCCCATTTCTTTTGGTTGCCATTCCCTCTAACATATCGCCCCCTAAAATTGCAAACCAAAAAAAATGCAAATTACATATCCAATAATGTACATGTGAAAAATATAAATATAAATATATACCTATAAAAAAATATAGGTATAGTATTTACCAAAAACATTTAAAAAAAATAGGTCAGTTACTTTGTAATTGAAATTCTGTACATTTAACCAAGGTGGTTGGTGTGAGTGGTTCGGCACTCTCATTCCTTAAGAGAGGTCAGGGGTTCGATCCCTGCTCTCGTATGGAGTCACCACTTTGGCCAGCACTTTACCCCTTACGGGCCGACCCGGTGTGAGCGGGGATTAGTCTGGGTTGTGGTTAAGGCTTAAAGGTGCCACCCATAGTTGGGGCCCATCCAGGACCACCTCGCGGTTCAGACAAAAAAAAAAAAAAATTCCGTACATTTTTTATCAATTAAAAATAGGTACACAATAATTTATAAAAAATAGGTACGTTGTATAATTGAAATTTATGCACATTTTTTCAATTGAAAACAGGTTCATTATACTAGGTAAATTATAGAAAATAGGTACGTTGTATAATTGAAAATAGGTTCATTATACTAGGTAAATTGTTTTACTAGGTACATTATTAGAGAAGAAAAAAAAAGGTACATTATTTGGAGAGAAAAAATAGGTTCATTAAAAAAAAAATGTTTTCATAAAACAAACAATAAAAAGATTATCAAATTATTTTTCATAAAACAAGTAATAGGTGCTTTATTTGGAGAAAAAATAGGTTCATTTAAAAAAAATGTTTTTCAAAAAACAAACAATAAATAGCTTATCAAATTCTTTTTCAACATAATTAGAATAATTAGAATGTACACTATTATTCATAAAACTATAATAAATAGATTACTAGTCGTATAATTCATAAAAGGAAAACAACATAATTTTTATATTTAATAAACTGAAATGTTAATCACCTATAGATTACTAATACATTAATGTTGAATTTAATATTTAATTTCAAATAAGTTTCTAAATTAATTCCTACATCCATTACAACCATTTGGAGATCTTTCCAGATTCAACGTGTGTCATTAGTTACACCTCCCCATAACACATTAACTTATAAATAGGGGTAGTTTTGGAATCCAAAAAATACAATAAATCAGATTTTAAGTTATATTAGGAAACTTGCTTAGTTGGATCCTAGTCATCGGGTATTATTTGAAAAAATTGGGTATTTTAAATAGAAAAATAAAGGGAAGGTTGTAGGTGATTTAAAATGAATTTTATGGGTCTAAGCTCAATTTACTATATATTTTAATTTACCTACCTAGAGGCATAGGTAGCTAAAAAAAAGTAGCACCTTAGTTGGTTGTATATTAATTTACCTACCTAGAGGCATAGGTTGCTAAGAAAAAATGTAGGTAAATTCATGTACCTAAACACATAGGGGTCGTTTGGCACGACGGATTGTCATGGACTGGACTTAATTCTGGGACTGTCTTGGATTGGCCTATGCTAGATTAAGTACTGACTTACATTTGGTGCTGCAGATTGTAAAAATAGTGAAGACCTATGTTTGGTGATGTGTCGAACTAAAAAATAATTCTTATAATATTTAAATTTAATTAGGTTTTTTGACCTAAAAGATAAATAAATGCTACAAAGAAACCCAATTCAAAGATTTATAACAATATATATATATATATATATATATATATATATATATATATATATATATATATATATATATATATATATATATATATATATATATATATATATATATATATATATATATATATATATATATATATATATATATATATATATATATATATATATATATATATATATATATATATATATATATATATATATATATATATATATATATATATATATATATATATATATATATATATATATATATATATATATATATATATATATATATATATATATATATATATATATATATATATATATATATATATATATATATATATATATATATATATATATATATATATATATATATATATATATATATATATATATATATATATATATATATATATATATATATATATATATATATATATATATATATATATATATATATATATATATATATATATATATATATATATATATATATATATATATATATATATATATATATATATATATATATATATATATATATATATATATATATATATATATATATATATATATATATATAATTTGTGTATATTTGACTTTTGATTTCAAACTGAAAAATATAATTTGACAAGGTAAAAATTGCTTGCGATAAAGAAAGCATCACATCATGAATTATTAAACTTGTTTCAATATAAATAAATAAAAATCAAACATTTGTAAATTACTATAGTTCGATTTTCCAAATGCAATATCAAAATAATTATTGTAATATTTTAATGATTTTTATCTAAAAAAAATAAATGCTGCAAAAAAAAAAAACCATTCAAAGATCTAAAACAATAATTAAAAGAAAACAAATAAAATTATGATATTTTCTAAAGAGAGGTGTCGGACTCACGCGTTCTATTTAGCAAGTGTGCTATTTAGCGAACCACTTTTCAAGCTCACTGTATTAGACGAGCAAGTGAGACGGTTTTTTCACTATTGGACTATACAGTCTCATTTAAGTTAGTCTCGTCTCTTACCAAACAAGGATTTCGAGTGCTATTTAACCCAGTCCAATCCAGTGAGGCGTACCAAACATGACCATAGGGGTCAAATAGAGAATAACATGTTATTTCCCTTTGAACAAATTAATTTCAAAAACCATAACAATTATTGAATTTGGAAATTGGTATAAATAAAAGGAAATAAATAAGCTATCAATTTGAAAATTAAAATACGAAATGATCAAGTAGTCAAATTTGAAAAAAAAAATGAATATATTCTTGTTTTTTTATAGGAACAACGAGTATATTCAAACCATACGGCAGTAATTACATTTTTTTTAAATAAGGAAAAAATTGATCCATTAAATCCTTGGAATCTATGCAAAATTGAAACACAATTAATCGGCATTGAATTGCAGCTAATTTCTTAAACAAATCACGTTAAAAATGTAATCAAGGTTATTATAGGAATTTAAAATATAACATTTAACACATTAAGGTTGATTAGGAAATTTGATGAGTTGGATCCTAGTCATCGGGTTTTCCTTATAAAAATCGGGTTTTATTTATAGAAAAATAAAACGATGGGTTGTAGGTAAGAAAATATTAATTTGAAGGGGAAGAGTCAAATTTACTAAAAAATGAAATACCAGCAACTCAAATAAAAATTTAAAAAGTTTTAAAGTTTCAATATTTATATATAAACTGTCAAATATATATGAACTATATGCAATGCTCGTCATCATATAACCAATCAACATGATAATGAAGTTAGTACATATAGATTTGAATTGAAATTTAAATCTGATTAATTAATTTTGTGTGACATTTATGAATTTAGGAATTAGAGTTTTCGATTTCCAACATTACACTCATTTCTGAAACATTATGACACCCAAATTGCAATGCAGAACCAAACAGAGGAAGTGAAATACTCAGTAGAATTCATGAACAAAGCAGCAAACCTACAACTTCTTTCTTAATGGGTTCTTCACCATAATCTAGACAGAAATATGCTCATGCATATACAAAATTCATTGGTGTATACGCAGAAATATGTTCATGCAAATTGGAATTTTTTTGTTTGGTTTCAACATCATTAAAAATCAGATTATGTTTCTGGTAACAGTTAAGGCACCATAGAATTCAAAACACACGAATTCGGAGAGGAAAGTGTGTGTAGATTATATATTCATTTCACGTCCAGAAAGTAACCCCATTAAAAATTCTTAATGGAATATCATATTATTGAAACAAATCCATCATCCATTGATCAATTGGTTAATATCTCACACCAACCGAGTGTACTGTCAAAAAAGAAAGTAAACCATAAAAGAAACAGAAATTAGCCACGCGAATAAACACACTTAAGAATCAAAACATTACATTGCAAATGCTTCAGTATCTTTTCTTCTATCGAAATCAAAATCACATTTGGCAAAAGTTCAGTGCTTTCTCTTGCGCAATTTTTCTATTGTGTAATCTAATGAAAAGTCCTTAACTGATGTAAATCACAAGCTCTCCCGTCGAAATAGATATATGGTAATTGCGGCCGGTTGGAATACTTTTGTATCCCCTTCATGACTTCATTGTCTGTAAGAAGATCAAAACTTCCAAATTCGACCTCATAATCATTCAAAAAATTAACAGTCATTCTGCTAAATTCACATTTGGGCTCCTCAGGGGTTCCTTTCATGAAAAGCATGACTAGATTATCGTCAATAAGCTTCTGCAGCCGCCTTTTCAAGGCATCATCAAGCCCATTTTGGGCTGAAATTTGCTCATCGGAAGATCCAGTTTCTTTTGCTAACTCTTGGACTGTCTCAAGACTGGTAGGAGCAGGAGCAGGTTCTCCAGCCTTAACTAACCCATCAACCCTAGCAACTTTAACCTACAATATTTATCAGCAATTAGAGATTAAAAACAAAACACCCCCACACACAAAACAACAGAAAAAACCCAGTTAGAGATGAAAAGTAACCTCGTCCATGTGCTTCGAAGCCTCACACCCCGAGGGCCAGACCACGCTATCAAGCTCCTTGAATTGCACATCCTTCACTGATTCACCCATCGATGACAGAGTCTTCCAAATTATGAACCCTAAACGCACAAAAAATCAAAAACAAAGAGAGAGATGGAGACCAAAAAAAACGAAAAGACAGACTATTATATATAATTAAAGACAGAGGCATAATTTAGGGAACCCTTCTTTTTTCCTACAGAATTTAGGGAAACTTTCAAAATATATACTACGAAATATCCTTTATTAATTAGACTTCTAAAACAAGATAACTTAATTAATATGAAATAAAATAATAAAAGTAAAATTTTAATATTAAAAAAAGGTAAAATAACGAAGTCTGTCTGTGGCTAGTGAATATTGATTTATGAAATTAAAGTCGGGCACATGGGATTAGGGCCCGAACAATTGGCATGGCTGGTCATCCACCAAATATTTTAGTTTTTTGGGGGTGATAGTTGTGTGTCAATTGAAATTAGGGCCTGAATCTATGATGCTTTTAAATTTTTAACAAATATAACATGCCACATTGTATGATAAAAGAACACTAGTTGTATGATAATACGAAAAGCTAAAAAAAAAAGAAGTAGAAATTTATAAAAGATAAATGAAGTCCAACACACAAATTTTGTTGAGAAATTAACCAATGGAGCAAACAAACTCAAACATATTTTCAAATCAAATAGAACTAGGATATTTTACAAAACGAAATTCTACTATATGAACCAAAAGTGACGTATTGTGTAATATAAACCCTTAATTTAAACGAAAAAGAAAAAACATACATACCGATTGGCTTCAAAAGTGACGTATCACGGTCGAGCTAGGGGTGGGAAAAAGACTGGGAGGATTTTAGGGTTAAGGGCTTGGCGTAGGGATGAGATTGTAAGTAGTGAGATTAAAAATACAGGTATATAGGCGTGTACTGTAGGGATGCTTATTTTTGAAGCTTTCCCTAAACAGAACGCTGCTCTTAAGGTTATTAAATACTGATTTTATGAATTTTTTTTAAAAGCCAAAGAAAAATCCCTTAATACATCAGTCCCTTTCTTAAATTTAGGCAACCTTTTGTTTTCCAAAGAATTTAGGGAAACTTTCAAAATAAAATACTAAGAAATTTCCTTTATTAATTAGACTTCTAAAACAAGATGACTTAAGTAATATGAAATAAAAGAATAAAAGTAACGTGTGGGTATTTTTATTATAAAACTTCCATTACTTCTTATTTTTATATTTCAAAAATATATTCCTTCTTAAAAAGACTTTACATATCAAATTAGAAAAATGGTAAATTGGTGAGCATAAATGAAGTGCGCTCTCACCGTTGATTTCTTTCTCCGATTAAATTCCTCTATCCCGGGTCTGTCTGTGGCTGGCTAGTGAATATTGATTTGTGAATTAAAGTTGGGCATATGGGTATTTTAGTATTTTGGGCATGATAGTCGCGTCAATTGGGCTTAGGGCTCGAAAAAACAGTGCGCCTGACTCTTTGACGCTTACAAATTTTTGGGATTGAGAATTAAAGAGATTGTCACATGCACAAATTGTGTACTAAATCCTATTTTTAATTTAAGAAAAATTAGTATATGGTGATAATAATTATTTTTTAAAAAAATTTAATATGGTAAATGGTCTATTTTTGTTTTGCTAAGTGAATGAGTTTTAAATTTTGTTTTGTTAATGGTCAATGGGTAAGCTCAAATAGGAACACAAATAGAAGCCTTCATTTTTTAAGTAGAACTTTATTCATACTATTTTAAGTTGGTACACAAATAGAAGCCTTTGTTATCGGTTTGTGGGGCGGTTAAAAATTTACTTTTGGTCCCTATAATTTACCAATTCTACCACTTTGTTTTCCGTAGTTTAAATTTTGTCATTGTAATTTCAATTCGGAGCAATTGAAGGATATATTTCAATTCATGTCAATTTCTCCAATTCCTGTACAGTTTTGACCACATGCCCATCACTTGGAAGGTTATTTCAGTTTACTCAAGCTATCTAACAGTAAAACACAAGCTGAAGCTCTTCCCGTTCATTTTAGGAGCAATTTCGAAAACATTTGCATCTCTAGGTTAAAATTTTGGTGAATTTGGAGGAATTTAGCTCTAGTGGACCAAAATACCCCTCCACATGAAGGGAACCTTGTCAAAACTTAATGGAATTGTGAGAAATTTTGACATAATTGAAACATGTCCTTGAAATGTTTCCAATTGAAAACTACAATGATAAAACTAAAAAAATTGAAAACTACAATTAAAACTATGAGCACCAAAGTGATAAGACCGGTAAATTATAAGGAACTAAAATGACATCTTCTTTTTTTCTTTCTTTTCTTGCAAGAATATAAACCTTCATTTTATTAATTTTTTATGTTCACAATTAGAATCAATATAGCTGGAAAGCAAGAGATTCATATGAAAATTGGCTTAATAATCTTCATGTGATATTGTGACAACGCTGCCGGATTATGTGGGCTAATAGAAACAACAAATTTAAGCAAACCTTGTTGTGGTTGCCGTACTTCTAATCGTCCTAATCCCACACCCCTCTCTATTTTAATTCCCTTCAAGAAAAGAAAATCTAAAAACAAAAAGAAAAATCCAGCCGACTTGAACAATGCAATGAGGTGTCATTGTCAAGCAAATAAAGATAAAATAAAATAAAAAGATTCAATTCAAATTATAAAAATATAAAAATATCCTTTCTATTTTCCTAATCCACAGACACGACATCGTTTCGTGGCACCGGGTCTAAAACGCGTGTCTAGAACGTTAAAAAGTCAAAAAACGAAGCACTCAAAAAAGACTCCTCGCGTTCAATTGACTTCGTCTCTGGGGCTCTATATGCTAAAATGCGCTGTGAGTTGAGTTGGTGACGTGCCTTGTTATTTATTACAAGTCCAACGCATATAAAGAATTGAGAAAATCTTCCTTCCCTGCACTTTGCAAACAACACACAATCTTTCTTAAGCCTCTGCTCGGACATCCTCGGTGTCTTTTGTGCTTTCTGGGTTCTCATTCTCCTTGTGCTTTCTGGGTTCTGTCTGTTTCTTTCCACATTTGAAGCTCAGCATCACAATTTGGTGGAATTTGAAGCTCGAGTCGGTAGAAATGGTTCTGATGAAGGAATTGTATCCTTGCTGTTTTGCTTTTTGTTTTGATTTTAATTATGAATTCTGGATTATGGGTTTGAATTCTCTGATGTTATTTTCTCTGGCTGCCAAGAAAAATGCCATTTGAACTTAATTTATGTTGTTTTAGTATAGGCTTACTTTGAGTGGGCAGATATTGGATTAACACAATTGAGCAAATTATTTTTTTGTTATAAATTATGGGTTGGTTTGTTCAATGCATACAAGTCTACAGTTACTGGCCTTTTTGTTTCTGTTTTTAGTTTCCTTTTTCATGTGCGCTTGGAGCATTAAACATTTCGTTTTCTTTGGTTGCCAAGGAAATGAAGAACAAAGAATAGGAAGACAAAGTTTCAATTTTTGCTGTTAATTGTGGGGGTGTCTATGGATAATTTTTGTTTTGGTGCTACTATGATGAAACATCAAAGGATTCAGATTTTAAAGTTTTCTGTTCTTCTTATACATTCATGCCTAACCAAACTGAATGCCACTTTCACACTTTTATCTTTTGCAAGTAAACTTATATGAAATCTGGCATTAGATGAATTTAGAATACATATATATATATATACATACATACATACATTCCAAAAATCAGTTCATTCTTACTACTTTTGCAATGCCATAAATCAATTCCCTTTATTTTGTGGTTTCCTTAACTCTTGACCTTTCAATTGGGGACTTGCGTGAAGTCGGATTGTGATGCCCCTGTCGTTGGAAGAGGTAATGCAGTTAACAAGTTCATAATTTTGTATTCTACTAAAATGCTTAGCCATTAGTTGTTACAATATTAGTTTTCACTTGTAAAAGAACTATGGAGTACTTGTTGAACCACATGTTTGAACTGCAGTATCAAGTAGCGCAGATGTACATGGTTAGGAAGATGCAGCAACAGAACACGACCAGTACTGAAGGGGTTGAAATATTGGAGAACAAATCCTTTGAAGATGATGTACTTGGAAAGGGTCACTACTCTTCCAAAATTTACCGTCTACAAAGGTAAATCAATACACATAATATGCGGTCAGTTTAAGTTTCTGCGAAATTGGCAAGTGAAAGGCGTTCCCCTAGTTTTAGAACCCGTTATTGTTTAGTGAGCAGTGAACAAAACATTATCTTAGACTGAAGATGTGTTGTTTTATAGGAGTAAGGAGAAACCTGAAAGGAACCATAATCACCTAGAGAGTTTTGGTCTACGTGGGTTTATGTTCTGTGATCTAGTTAACGATGAGTCTTGTTTTCTTAGGCTTCTATAAGTTTTGGATGGATAAGTTCAGATTAATATATTGATGAAGGTTTTCAGGCCAAAAAAAAAGGGGTCATATCTTGATGAAGGCATTTATGTGTCAATTACTTTCTCTTGAATTATGGAGATTGAAATTGGCACCAGTTGATTCACAAAAAGGGCTGCGGATCAAAATCTGTACTATTGTCTTGTTTCCATCCTTTTGTTTTTGGTTTCCCTATTCTTTTTGTGGTGCATTCCATTTGCGGGACTGTAATGATTTTTGGTAACTCCTGTTCAGCTACATTTAAATAGTTTATTTATGTTGACATTTATTTCTTCAGTTGAAAGGATAATTTAATATATTAGTTTGATCCTGATTTCACCACGTCATTGATACCACTTAGGTTCCTACATATATGATGGCCTTACTATTTCCTTCCTCTTTATTTTTGTGAAGTAGAACGACTGTTAATACTGTTTCATGCAGACATTTAATTTATGAATTCCAAGGTTACATTATCTTATTCATACATTTTATTATCCAGCAAAGCTCCTACTTGGCTCACCACTTTTGCACCGGCAGATGCTCTCATCATGCAAGAGGAAGCCTGGAACGCATACCCAAGATGCAAAACAGGTTTTCCATGTGTTCTTGATGTCAATTTTTGTATATCTTGTTTATTAAACACACTTTAAATTTGTTTTAACATGGTTTTTGGTTGTCTGCAAATGGATGCTCTATGTCACAGTAATCAAGGTAACAGAATTCTTGTCCATCTCTGAAAACAATTAATTGTCCATTTACATTCTTAGAATTTATCATTAAAAGAATTTAGAAGCATAATCGCTTGTGTTGCATTTTGCAGTGCCCATACTTTACCAAGTTTCAGCTGACCATTGAAACAGTTCACAGGGCTGACAATGGGCAGTCAGATAATGTAAGTTTCTAGAAAAGTTTCTGTTGCCTTTAGTTAAGTTTTTTTTATAACTCTATTTGTAGTGGGAAATTTATAATTTAATGTCCTTATACCCTACTTTTCTTTCTTGTTCTTCTCTTTGCCACTTTGAAACTAAAGGTGCATGGTCTAAGCAAAGGACAACTAGCAACCAGGGATGTGGAAATTGTTGATATTGCTTCATCTGCAAGGGATTACTGGAGTTACGTCGTTAGCAGTAGCAACACAGACTTATCCAAATTTACGTCAGCGAAAACTGGCCGTGGTCCACTTTTAGACGGATGGCAGGTTGGAATCTTCCCTACCAGTAGCTTAACCATGTTGTTTATGAATTTACGACGTGTCAGTTACTCAGTTTGGTTTATATATATATATCAGTCCCCTTCTATTGAGGGATCCCTCAAATAATTTTATTTGAGGGACACCCTTTAGGGTACCCTACAAATTTTTTTCCAACAATCAAAACCATCTATTTTTTAAGTCTTCATTCATAGACCATCCTTGCAAAAAATCAGACAAATCGGAAACCATTTAGACATCTAATGGTGTCCT